GCTTAGAACTGCTTTTCACATTTCAGGCTTACCACACCAGATGCAAAAACAAACATGTGACCTAAAAACAGATGCTGTCACTGACTCGAGGTTTGTGGATGTATGACACTCGATTAGACATATTTATTTGTTCACATCTACGGCTCTTATTTCATTATTAACCAACGTGGAATTGAATCTAAGTAGACTGCTGGTGTCAAAGTTCTCGGGTCAGGATGTGGGCCAGGAAACCGGGTCAGAGGGCCACAGCAGCAAGGCTCCTGCTTTCTCCCACCAGCATCCATCTAATCATTAAAGGAACCCAGGCTGTGATCAGTTGGACCTGTTTAAGGTGCTTTTGAATATATTTGACATCCTCCAGCTCATTTATAGATCTGTTCAGGATGAACCTTTACAGCCAAACTAAAACCGGATTGTGTTCACACACGCCCTTGGCTGTGTCAAGTGTGAACCTGTCCTCCAGCACTGCACAGGCTGTAGAAACCACAACAGTCCAATAAAAATGACAGACTCAATGTCAGGATTTCAACTGAATCAGACTTTAGAGCAGCTTTTATAACCCAACATGTCAATTGCCTGCACAAGGAAAACCTAGCACAGATCCCACAGAATCAGTCAGTTTTATTGGCAGCAATGTGAACACGGTGGGAACAGCACAGACACGGATCAACAAGTCAGAAAACCCATCGAACAGTCGGCCTGAACAACCAGACATGTTGGCTCAGACATTCAGAACCAGTGACTTGTGATTCTCAATGGAGGGTGTTGCTCAGTGTAGCAGGCAACTGGTATTTAGAAACACTGGCTTGAGAAGCCCAGTTTCTGCCTGGATGCCGTCTTGGTGTCTGTGTCCTGACTTTCACTAACAGCTCAGCGCCCTGGCTCTAGGCCGAGCCAGACCTGCGGCCCTCTGGCCTCGCCCAGTCTGTCAGGGACCCTGTTTCCATTTAGCCAAAGTGAAATCAAGATAGATTAAAGACTTTTGTATGGTTCATGACAAAGTTTAGGTTTTGTCCCAATGCTGCTGCTTTTCAGGTCGAAATTGCAAACAGTCAGAAGCCCCAGACGTTCACGTTCGACCTAGAGACAAAAGGCATTTAGATGTTTTTCATTTGCTTGTCAGGCCCTGTTGATTCCAGAGGGCAAAATGATTAAGAGAAATGGAGTAAACTAAAGGCAACGTCTGATGTGTTTCCATTAAATGTGGCTGTCATGGCTCTGCACACTTTCCACCACCACTGCAGATCCTGCGTGTCAGTGCTTCTGATTATTAGTGAGGGCCAGAGAGCGGAGCCTCACTGGAGCCTTTAGGCTGCAGAGACGTGAGGTATGGGAGCTTTAAATCTCATCTGGGTTTGATCTGAACACACAGCTCTTGAGCTGATGAATGGAAACGAAGAGAAACAAAGTCTAGTTAACAATGTAGAAAACAACCAGCCGAGACCTGATGGGAGGACAGTGAACAGTACACAGCAGCAACAAATCAGTGTCAGTCAACACACACCCATTGCTGTGCGACATCGCTTCTCAGGGAATCTCCCAGCAGACAAAGAAAGAGCTGCTGGGACAGAACCTGCTCCTCCTGGTAGGGCTTGCAGTGCAGCAAAGAGCTCACCAGCAGAAAATCCATGGCATCGTTGGGTTTCCAGCAGCGTCCAGGTCACATCGGGCCAAGTGGAGTACAGTTCAGTCCAGCAGTTGATTGGAGAGATGGACATGGACAGAAAAAAGTCAGAGTTCAAAACTACAGTCAAAATATAGTTTTTAAAAAGCTGAACTATTACAACCAAAGTTGTGCCATAATGTGAGAAACAAATCTTGAGTCTAAACAGAGAAGGTGAACTGAACCCAAACACCAGCTGCAGGTGTCGTGAAAGATAAAGCTGCAATATTTGACATAAAACACCTAATTGTCATATTTTGAGACAAAAATCTGAATACGTTGATGTTTTATTCTTAAAATTTCAAAACATCTTCAAAATAACATCACAACTTTATTGTCCAAACATCAAGATGCTGTGACTTTACTCTGAAAATATTAGACTTTATTTAACATGTGGCAACTTGAGTCACGTGACAACTTTATTCTCAGACCGTTACTTTTTGTGCCATAAAATTTGAACTTCTTACTCAAAATATTTTGACTTTACTCTTAAAATCTCAGAACCTGCTCCTGTTGTGCGCTGTAAATCTCGCGGTGGTCCAAACTTTGATCCTTTGGGAACAAAAACCTGATCCAGGATTTTAAGTTTTTGGACAGACTGTTCGGATTCATGCATTTTTTTTGGAAAAAGGCTTGGTACCAGATTTTACACCGTCTTATGAACAGTTAGTCCAAAGCGATGGTGATTCAGTCCTGTCAGACAGAAGCCGAGTCATGACCCCTCTGATGAAGGTTTATTCCTTTTAAGAAGATGTAAATGTTCTTCTGAATAAAAACCTTTTACATTCTGTCAGATTTTTTTTTTCCAGGAACTTCCTTAAGTCCTTCAGAGGGCCTTGGGCCACAGTTTGGTAACCACGTACTCTTTACATTGATCACAGGTCTGATCAGTAGATGGATAAACAATTAATCATCCAAAGACAATGAGAAGGCACTGAAACTCCTGCTGCCTCCGGAGGGCGCTACAATAGGACAAATCATCAGTTAGCGGTTGCGGGTTTGATTCCTGAGTGTCCAGAGTGTGTCTGCCAAGGTGCTGCTGAGCAAGGCACTGAGCGTTCAGTCACTTTCTGTGAGCTCATGAAGGACTCAGAGATAAATCCAATGGGCGGGTGCAGCTGGATAACATGGCCGTTGTCATCATCATCTTCATCACGCAGAAGAAACAGCGGCCTCTTCAGGTACAGCTTCTCAGATCAGTCCGAGGTTAAAGCTCGGATGAGCTGACTTTCTGAGGAACTGTGGGTCGAACCGGGCGGGCCGGAGGTCGTCTGCAGAGACACACACACATATGGCAAGCACTTTTAAGATTAAACCGGCCAACAGGACTTACATTTGACCAGTCACAACTATAATTTAAGATGTTAACAATTACATTTTGACAGTTAAGAATTCCTCCTGATGCAAATGAGAAAACTAAGATATCTACACTTCTGCCCGTCATACATGTGAATTCCACATATCTGGATCTTATTTAAATTCATCTTTGTACAGACCTGGTGATGTAAAGTAGCCTGAGACAGCTGTTGTTGTGAACTGTTGCTGTAAGGATAAACTGAACTGAGGAGAATCGTCTTGTTTCTTTCCTCAGTGTTTTTGTTTGATGTGAAGCATTTTGAACGTCCCAGTTGTTGAAAGATGCTATTCTGTTACATTCCCAGAAATGATGATTCTTTAAACAAAAAAACAAAACTAAACACTAGAACTAACTCTTTACACAAACTCTTTGTAGAACTGCCCCCACTTTCTGACAATATACAAACTTCCTCCTCAGTGTAACAGTTGTACCTGTTGGCAGCGGCTCTGTGCTGTGGTGGTTTGGTGTTCGGGGTGTAGCCAGGGTGAGGGGGGAACTGGGGCTGGGATGGCGGGACCAGAGGGTGAGGTTTTCTGGACACCACAGGTCGGAGCTCGACAGGAGCCTGAAGAGAGAATCATCCATCTCAGTGTAAAGATGTTCAGGACACAAAGTTGAGTTGTTTTCCTGCTGCAGTTTCTTCAATTCAAGACACTCATCTTTTGGAAGGCAGACAGGCTGCGCCCACATCCCAGGCCTCAACGCCCAGCTCTGGTCTGACGACGTCTGCTCTGGTCTGTTCACACTGCTGTGGACACACCACAGGCACTGCAGCTGGGATGTGAGCGCAGCCTTCACCTTGCATTTCCTTCAGTTTTGCATGAAACACCTCTGTGAACTGCAACAGTAAAGTTTTTACTTCCCAGTTTGTACCTAGGCTTCAACTCGGAAGTCGTTCGTTGTTCTTTATTGGCCCGATATTGTCTGAAATCAACATCGGTGTTAAATCAGTCATCAAACCTCATCTTTAGGACACACAGCACGTCCTGATTCCTCATAATCAAATCACACTAATCACAGTGATTAGTCTACCTGATCACAATCACCAATCAGAACCACATGACACAGATCAATCGAATCAATCAATTACACTGTATTCTTCTGATCACTCCCCTTCTCACCACTTCTGTCCCTACATGCTAAGTACATGCAAGCTAATACTAAGAGTGCAGTGTACCTGTGCAGGTGTGACCGGGTCGGGGGGGAGTGGCTTGCTAGGTGGAGCTGGTCGACTCACCAGCTGCTGGAAGGTTAGTGAGGAGGAAGAGAAGAGGAAGAGTGAAGCTTCAGCGACAGCAAGAGGAGATGCTGTTATCCTACTGTTTGTGGAGTTAACTGGGAGGTGGCTGGGACAATTTAGAGGTCTGTGTAATGGGACTAAGTTACAGTGTGTTTATCGGTGCTCCATGCAGACAGAAACAGAAGTTCACAGAGAAGGAAAGTGTAACAACAGACGGAGCAGCAGATGCAAAGGCCTGGTCACACCAGCTTGATTACAGCAACATTTCACACTGACACCTGTCCAGTAGCATGTCAGTGGTGCGATCAGTTGATCTTCTGCATGGAAAGTTCTGTATTTGCTGTTTTCTTAGTCTTATGTGATGATAAAATGGTCAGACCAATACACTGGAAAATGTGGCTCCACTACACCATAAATCAGTAGGGGTCATGGCACCATGGGGCGCCTCAGGAACAGGCCACAGGGGGCCACGAGGTTATCACTGTCATTTATTAGGATTTTTTAACAAGTTGCCATCACAAAACAATGGCAAGAAATTAATGGTACAAAAAAAGCAATAAACATCACAATTAGCCAAATAGAAAGTGAGAGCTACCGACAGGAAGTCAGCTTCTGGTTGGTTTGATATGAACAGAATAACAAGGAAACAACGGGCCTTTGGAACAAACAGTTTCCACTGCACCAGTCTGAGGTGTGACCGGGACCTTGCTGCTCCTGGACTCAAGTGTTTTATAATTTAACTCTCCTCCTCCAGCCAGCAGGCGGAGCTGCAGCCTATGGGCCAGCAGCCATTCAGCTGAGAGGTTCATATCACATGTGATCAGAAGACAAACACAGAATAGACAGTAACACTACACACTACAGGTAGCAGCGACTGTACCTGGTCAGGGGGGTCAGGGGGCAGAGGCTTGTTGGGGGGGGCTGGTCGCTGTTTAACAGAGCGAAGCAGCAGAAATAAGAGTCAGGAGAGCATTGAGTGAGTTTAACAGAATGAGAATACAGCAGGAGTTTTGTTGAGTCTGGTACCAGTCACTGAATGTGACGTTGGTACTTCCTGTTCCAACAAACAGCTCAGCATTCTGTGAAAACTGCATCCCTCAGAGCGAGATGAGACGATGGCAGGGAATATCGCAGCTGTTTGGCTGTTTTCCTGCGTCCAGTCTTTATGCTAAGCTAAGCTAACCACACATGCTCACATGAAACTTCACAGGTTCTCACTGTCAGAAATTAAGAGAATAAGAGTGTTTCCCAAACTCAGGTTTGACGACTCAGTCTTATTATCTCAAACACAAACATTTGTAAAAATCATATTTACACTAATGACGACATGACTCAAACGCATCATGCACGAGCTGCTAAACATTCACAAGTGTGACAGGTGTACAAACTGTTAGCAGCATAGACACCTCCAGGTGAGTTCAGGTGAGGTTACCTGTGGCGGGGGATTTAGGGCGGGGTCAGGGGGGAGTGGCTTAGTGGGAGGAGCAGGTCTGTCATGAACCTGATGGGAGAGAAAACAGGAAGCAGAGGCAGAGTGACAGCTGATACATGCACAGGAGAGAGCATCCAGAGCTCCAGCAGGCAGATGTGTTAATGTGGACTCGATGGAGGCGAGTCAGGTCTGACCAGCACACAGGACAACCGGGCTCTGTCCAGGTTGAGGTCCCGACTCGGTCTGACATCATGCAAATGAGGGCAGTGATGACCTCACAGGAGAACTAGATGCTGCAGGGCATGATGGGAAACACCTAGCTCTCACATACATCTGCTGTCCGTGTTGCACCTGAACTTTGGAACCTTTCACCATCAGATCCTCCAACTCAGCTGACATTTTTAAAAACTTCTCATTTAAATTCTCTTTTTTTTTAAGCAGATGTTTTCATGTTTTATTTTAACTTGTGTCTTTTTGTTCCAGCATTATTCTGTGTGTTACTTTCACCTGATCAAAGAGCCGATTGGTCCAGATGTTCCATCAACCACATTTTTTATTTAACTGAAAGATTTACTGTAGATGTTATTGGTCACGTTTTATTCAGCCACATACTTCGGTGTGTAGATGTGTTCTAGTCTTGCATTTAACTGAATTATGTTGATGAGGGTATTTTCACCCAGTTTGCTATTTTCCTGGCCACCACTAAAAGAACATTTAAGACATATGTGGTTTGTTGGTCAGCTCTCCACTGAGGTTCTACTGGGATATCATTGTTTATAATCTGTTTTAACTTCTTCCTTTATATTTTGCCAGTATCCCAGTACAACTGGGCAGAGGGCACAACATGTAAGTGATCATACTGATTCACATTTTGATTTCATTTGCGTAGTTTCATATCCAGTAAATCTGGGCAGCTAATATACAGCAGCAAAGTGATGTGATGACTGCTGGACACCGACTGTACAAGCTGAGGAGTTTCGTTTGATGACACTATTACAGTTATAGTGATCAGTTCTAACAGGATGTGAGAGTGTCTGCTGGAAACTCTCCATTTGACTGCAGCTTGTCTTCACTGCCTCCTGCTGTGCCTGATCCCTGTTTCACTTTAAGGCGTGTTTCATTTTGAGTCAGACTACTGTGACTTAACAGCAGCTGTGCTGGCGTGCCACTCCCTTCTGGTTTTTCTCGCACAATAAATCCAGGCTGTTATTTCATATTTACTGAGGATCTTCGCTCTCCTGTGAACTGTGATTTTACTGCTTTTAGCAGTGTCACCTGGCAACTTGAAATCCAGTTTTTCTTCTTGTCAGTTGTCATATATACCCAATATATGTGTCATAGAAGGTGGAATACTTAAAACCTCCAAAGACATGTCGGTGGTGCTCTAATTCAAAATAGAAGTGTCATCAATGTGATGAATTTGGTGAGAAGAGCTACAGATGTCAATAAACCGAATGTCTGCAAATGTATTTATGATGATTTATAACTGTGAACAAAGCTCCTGCCTCCATACACATACATGTCTGTTCCAAGAAGGCAGCTGCAGTGAACAGCAGCACCTCATGTGACAGCTACATGTTTACATCTGTACGCTGTTTCTATCAGTGCTGTTGTCAGTGTTGGCATGGGTTGCTATGGTTACCTCTTTGTGAGGCGGTGTCAGCGGGATGTCCATCTGAGGGTTCAGGTGGTACCTGAGAGGTCGGACCTGCTCCCCGTTCCTGCCGTCCACTCGCTCCATCGCCGGAGTGCTGATGGAGAAACACTGACAAGTGAAAACACTGTGGACCTGCTCATCATCTAAAAGTCTAACGAGGAAACAGACCTGAGAAATCGTGTCTTCTTGTCTCCCTTACTAGCACATAGCTAAAATCAAAGTGTGATCGAGCATTTGCCATGTCGGCCCAAATACTGATGAACCGAACTGTTAGGAAAATGGGTCTGAATCAGAAGCTGAGAGGTGGATTAGTGCCGCTTTGAGCCTGGCAGCTGATTAGCTCGAACTCAGCTCAAACTCTGTCACAAACACTTTCAGAGAGAACCCTGATTATGACGACTGACAGGACTCTGCCTCGCTGGTTCTACAGGGACAGACTCAGGGTCCAGCAGTACCTGGGGACAAGGCAGGGTTCCACACCAGATTGACAAGTAACTGTAATTCAATAATTCCTTGTGCAAAAAAGGTTTTTAAACTGTTATTTTTCAAGTGCTGTCTGACTGGAATAAGTTTCTCTGAGAAACTGAGAATTGACCAGTTTTCATGAACATCTATCTGATTACTGCTTGTTCCTCAGTTTACTGTGTCCTGGATGAGTATATCTGTGTAACCATTACAATAGGATACCACAACAGGATACCATTATACTTTAGTTTCTAAGATGGATTTTGAACATGTGGAGGAAGATGGGGATCCAGGTACAGAGCCGAGGCAGAAACACACTCACACGCGTCAACCTTACCGGTTGTGTTGTCGAGCTTTGTGAAACGGGCTGTTTGGTCCCAGACAGAGGAGGCTCCGACGGAAACGAGGGAAGCGAAGGGCGAGGAAGAGGAGGAGCATGGGCAGGATGAAGAGGAAGATGATGAGCAGGGCGATTCGGACTGGGTCAGACTCTAAACACACACACACACACACACACACACACACACACACACACAGAGGAGTGTTTTCCACAGCCAGTGACGGCGGATATCAGCTGCAGTGTTTCTATGCGCGTGCTACCTCGAGCAGCTCTGGCCGGGCCGCTGTCCACGCTGCCTCCATGACCAGCATATCTGCAGTCAGGCGGAGCCCAGCCCACATCACAGTGACAGTTCTTATTACTGTTACACACCTGCAACACAGACACACAGCAGACTATAATCCCAGAGACCAACACACTACTTCACTCCATGTGTAGCGGAGTTTGATGCCCAAAGTAGAAATTAAAGTACGAGGTGAAACACATTCGTAGTTTTATCCCCGTTTCCATTTCTCTTTATTGCCAAAAAAAACAAACAAAAACACAGATACTTTGGTTGTAGTGTCTTAACTCTGTTGTTCTGTTTGTGTGGGTTTAGGGTTTAGAAACATATTTGTTTTCCCATCATGCAACTTATATTTGTGATGTTTTAGTTTTATAAGAAAATTGCATGTGTTAAAACAAGAAACATGCAATAATGAGTTTTTGTCATGGATAAAAACACCAGATAAATGTGACTGCCGTGTTGTATGACATATGACACCGCAAAAGTCTTCAGAACAATGTACTGTTCATTGAACACATGGACAGCCAGACCTTTTCTTTTCCTGCCTTCATTCCTTCAACCTTAAAAACAAAAATGATTCAAAGTATAAATAAGAAACATGTCATGTGACTCAATCTCACATGACACTTTCTTACATAAACAGAATCAGAAACCCTTTACAGGTAGTTGTCTCTATCTGAACTGTAAAATCTGACCAGTCGATTCTCACTCACGCCGTGGCCGTTGCATGTCCCGCGACACTTGTCCACTCCAAACACAGACACATCCTGGCACTTCTGGTTCAAACAGGCCTATAGCACAAAAACAACCATGAAAAACAACTCAACAACATTTTCTGCAGCAATTTCTTAGAGAGATGTTATTGTAAAATAGTGAATATCTGCAACTCCTTGATGACCAAAGGTTAATAACTGGTGGACAACAGTGGAGGATTACGGCACAGAGCGATAAGCTGAACCAGGGTCTGGATTCACATTATAGTGAGGAAACCACTTTCACTGGTGCTGCTGGTCTCTGGACAGGGTTTGTGCAGTAACATAAACTTACACAAACACAATCAACCTGTGTCTGACCTTGCCGGGGCCGCAGGCGGTGCCCTGGGCTACAATGGCGGGGTCCCACACAACGTCTCCCAGGTGGAAGAAGGTTCCTCTGCAGACCAGGTCGCTGTGGTTGAAGCGGACAGTGGTGGTATGGATCTCTGCATTGGTGTCCAGCAGGAGGCGCTTCCTCCCGCCCTGACACTGGATCCTGCCGCAGTGAACGTCGCTACAACAAACACAGTGGACATGTTGGAGGAGGGGAAAATGTTTTCACAGCACAGAGACAAGGCTCATTTTCACTTGATGGCAAGACAGAGGCATCATCGACTTTGTAGGCTCAAAGCCCACAGTCACAGCCACTGAACCAAACACTTGCTACTCCGTGTACTGTGTCTGTGTGTTGTAGTGTGTACTCACCCGCTTCCACAGGCAATGTAGGAGCCGTTGCTCAGCTGACCACAGTTTCCATATTTGTTTCCTTGTTTGTTGACTGATGAGAAGCATACAGCCGGTGCACTTGTGGCATCTGAAGACAGAGAGACTGGTCTGAACTGCTAAACTGGCTTTAAAGCAGTGTAAACTTTCAGGCCTCCTTGTTCTTGGTGTTGGTCAGGAACAAATGTGTTTTCTATGTTCTACTCAGTGTAAGACACTAGGAGACGAATGTAAACTGGTTGAGGCTCAGTGAAAATGGGGTCGTACATAGTATGAAATGCTTATAGTTTAGTATAAACTGCAGTAGCTCAGTATAAACAAGTTCTGAGCAGTATCAACTGATTTACAGTAGACTGAGTACAAACTGGTTTGGACATTGGTGACTTACTGGGTCCCCACAGTGCCTTGCACTGGGTGTGCATGCTAGCGCAGACTCCTCCGTAGCAGTAGGAGGCACCATCCTCGCAGGGCTCTCCATTCTGCAGGAAGACATTGGGGGGGCAGTAGGGAGAGGAGCCGGTGCAGAACTCTGGGAGGTCGCATTCTCCAAGCGGCTCACGACACACTGAACCTGATGCCTGCAGCTGAGGAGGAAAGGGACTTTAGAGTGTGACGGAGAGAAACATGCGGCTCACGACACACTGAACCTGATGCCTGCAGCTGAGGAGGAAAGGGACTTAAATTTAGAGAGTGACGGAGAGAAACATCAGTGTGATGCATGTGTGCTGTGCCAGTCTCACTTTGCAGTCCTGGCAGCAGATGCCGTCAGACGAGCACTGAGCTCCAGGAACCAGTCGACAGGTGGAGGCGTTACAGCAGGGGTCCTCACATTCCTGACCAATCAAGAGCACAGTAAAAAGTCAACAGGCAGAACAGCACCACAACCCCTTCACACAGCCAGTCAGGTGAGTACCTGCAGCAAGCCACAGTCGCACTCCTCGCCCTTCTCTACATACAGGTTTCCACAGCGCGGCTTTCCCAGCAGGTTCTCCGGCTGCGGCACATTAAACAGACACATGCCGCCTCCGTGCAGCAGACTGACAGATAGATCTGCAGTGCTGCAGCTGCTGAACAGCTGACCCGGCATGAACCTGAGGGTCAGAAGTCACAGGTCACTATGTTCATCCTGCTCAGGACCATTACCCTGCTCCTGACCCGGCTCACATACTGACCCAGTTGAAGGCTCCATGATGCATCCTCCGAGCCGCGGTTCGTTCTGACAGGAGCAGTGGCGCTCAGTGGTGTCGTGGCTCATTCCCAGGTTATGACCAAGCTCATGGGCGACAGTGGAGGCCACACCCAGGACACTGACCAGGTGATCCTGAGACATAAACCATCCATCAGACTTCATTTACACTCTATAAGATAAACTTAGTTTCAGTTTCTGTGATATTGCTGAGGTTTTAACCCAGCTGATCCAGGCTGTTAGCGAAGTGACCCTGTCAAAAATCTTACTTTTGTGTCATTTAATGGAGCAGCTGTGGCTCAGGAGGTACAACACTTGCCCCCCAAATGAAAGGTCTGTGGTTAAATTCCCATTCTTCCACTCTAAATGACAAAGCGTCCTTGAGCAAGACACTGAATCCCAAATTGTCCCTGGAGACCAGAGCAGTGCAGTCATTGGTGTGTGTGTGTGTGTGCGCGCGCGTGCACGTGTGAGATGGCTCTGGTCTGTACCGGGGACAAATTCCTCGTGCGTAACATACTTGGCCAATAAAAGTGATTATATTATATATTATTAAAAACATGCTGAATGGTTTCAATTTTTTACATTTAGCCAAGGTGAAGAATTTAATAAAAAGTCTGCTTGAACAGTTTACATGACTGGATTCAAACCCACAACGTCGCCTGTACCATTAATTAAGATTAGTGTGTTGTCCAGCATCTTTGGGTGCAACTCAGGTCTTCCAGTGTCAGAGGAGTAGGCTCACTTCAGGGGATCAGATCAAATCACTGGAATCGTTCAGGGACTAAACGACTAAAGGACTTTACGTTTAAGTGACAAATAATAAAGAGTAATCTGATGAACTCCTCATTTCTCATATGAACATGTTCAAGGCTGGACCAACACACCCCCAATTACCTGAATCAGCTTCGTGATACAAGGGTTAGTGAAGCAGGTAACCCACACAGCCAGACTCAGCTGAAGGATGCAGCCGATGATTTAGTCTGTTTGTGTTATACTGCACAAATTCCAGACTAAAGCGTTGTTCTGTGCAGCATCAGAAGCCAGTGGAGCAGAGACCAGTGACTCTGTGCACAGTGACGTCGTTCTCAGCCTGTGGAGCCGTCTGTTGGAAACAGATGGCCTCCCATGTTTCCTGAGGAGGAAACCTGCCCCCAGTGCAGCGATGTGGCTCACCGGGGGGTTTAATACCTGGAGGACAACAGTGGAGGTCTACGGCACAGAGCGATAAGATGGACCAGGGTCTTGCACATTACAGTGAGGACACCACATTCACTGGTGCTGCTGGTCTCTGGGCAGGGTTTGTGCACAGTAACACACACATACTAAATCACTGGCTGGATTAATTAAACATGCTTAATGAGTACTAAGTAAAGATGTGTCCACGCACCACGTTGACCCCACCCGACCTGTCTCTGGAGCACATGGATGACTGAGACGCCATCCCCACTGTGGTGCCATCAAAAGACCCGCCCCTGCAAAATTAAAAATGATTATCACGATCGGGCCAAATTGGAGACTTTGGTTCTGTTCAAGGGTCCTGTCCTACATGATGAGCTGGGCGTTGTCGTGGTGAAGCCGAGGCAGCAGCTCTCGGGTTCTCCACTCCAGGAAGTTGTTGAGGGTGACAGTCGAACTTTTCTCCACCCGGATCTTATCACGGTCACTCCAGATCTCCACACCACTCAAGGCCACGCGGACATTCAGAGGACGGTAGAACTAAAACAGACAGACAAGCAAGACAGCTAGCCTCTACTGGTACTGCTGACTTATACCTGAGTCCAGACACAGGAGGTCAGAGGTCACAGCTCTCACCCAGTCCACCTGGTTGGCCACATCCAGCATGCGGTAGGTGATGGTCTTGTTGTTCTTCTGGTAGTTGAGAAACTGAGGAGCCGACATGACATTTAGTTACATTATCTAATGAGGTACACAGCTGAGAAATGCACATGTTTACACACATGGTGACACATTAAGATGCTTTTGTTTTGTGTGTTTTAAGAGTTTTTTTCCCCTAGTCTGTTCATTGATTAGTGAAAAGAATTTCTGCCCTGTTGTGTCACAAAGCCGTTACTGCAAACAAATTCTGGACAAATTATTAGAACATTACTCAGAGAAAATCTCATTTAGTTTCTGTTTAATGAAAATATCTCAAATTTAAATCCCTGACATAACTTTAGAAAAACTGCCTCACTCCCTGCTGGTTTATTCATTTAACATTTTGCTCTGTTTAACTTTCTTCAGGAAGTTAAAGATGGTGAGCTGCAGTTTTATTCATGTACTTTCCTCCTACACACAGCAGACTGTTGCAGCCTGAGACATCTGCAATGTTGAGAAACTCTGACATCTTATTTAGACGTTTAGGTAGCTATTTGGATTTTGGAAAAACAATGTGTTTGTGAGAAGAGCTGAAGGCAGTAATGTGTCTGTGTAGCAGACGTGACTCACTTTGCTGCAGGGATGTGATCCATGATCACAATGTCATTCTTCATTTATAAACAGATAACAACACAGAGGCACTGACCTCCTGATGATCGGCCACCAGCACCAGTTCGATGTACTTGGTCTCAGACAGGATGTCGCGTTTCCTCTGTGCACAAAGAAAACGGACAGGGTCAGAAGTCAAGCAGGGACTGGCCAACGGAAACAGCGGGGACTCACCAGGCGACTGAAAACCCAACAACCTGGCTCTAAAATCATTTTAGTCACATTGGTCTGTTCAGTAAACGAATTCCTGGTCAACAACCTTTAATCTGAAAGTCAAACAACAAATCACTCTTGGTCACAGCCTGTACTGGTGTGGCTTCCTTCCCAACACAATCAACTGGACCTGCCTTGTTCCACTCAAACATTTTTGCAACATCACGAATTTTAAGAGCTTCATCTAAAGCTGGAGAAGCTGGATAGTGGAAAAGCTGGAGATCAGGGACAACCTATGGCCAGACTTAATTATAAAGACACACACAAACTAAGTTGTTAGGTCTGGCTCTACAGTGTGTACTGTGGCTTCATGTGAAATTCTGATGGCAAAACAGGCCAAGCCAAATTTGGGACGAACAGTATATATGAGCTACATGAAGGGTGCAGCACCTTGGACAGAGTATATGTGCATTATTTACAGAATATGCAGCTTGTTGTTTTTGTTTAGTCGACTGCCTGTTATGTTTTCTGCTTTTAGTTGAAGTCATGTTTCTGCTTGTTGTATTTTGATGTTACAATGATAAAATTAATAAAAAGTCAAATGACTAAAAAAGCCAAACAACTGGAACGTCAAAGCGTAGCGGGCCTGTTGTTGCTCTGGATTTCGTCTCTCAGGCTGCAGACAGGTTTGCCTAGCCTCGTTACAGAGGGTATTAGATGTGTATGAAGATGCAGACGGTACTTCCGCCTCCTCTGCGTGTGTCTGGGGTGAAGGGCAGCGTTTCTCTCACCCTGTGTGAGCGTATGGAGGTGTGGATTGGAGGGACGGTAGCGTGAGAGACCCCGCAGACTCCAACACTGTCGCCCTCCAGAGGGCTAGCAGAGAACAGCAGGTGGATGACTCCTCCATCACCACCTCCTCCTCTGCTGCCTTCCCCTCCACTCTCCCCTTCTTCCGCATCCTCCTCCACCTGCCATTGGTGGTCATCCTGTGGCTGCAGCTCAAAGCTCAGAGTAGAGTTGATGGTGATGACACCGCTGGAGGACAAAACAGTGACTGTCAGGTCAGGATGCCTTAAGGATATGCTCAGGGGACCTGACCTTTACTTCAGAGGTGTAGTGGTGTGTGAATGAAGTACATAGTGGATACCCAGCACTGGGCATATACCAACTGAACAACCGCTACTGAGACATTCAGTGGCTTCAGAAACTATTCAGTCCGCTTTGTGCACACATCACTGTGGTGTTGCTTTCATTTTAAATTGATCAAATCAATCTACACTCAGTAACCTGGAAAGACAAAGTGAAAATATGTGCTAGACATCTTTGCGAATGTATTAAAAGTTTGCAACACGCCTTGGTTTCAGACTTCGTAGGAGCCTCGCTGGCGGCAGTTACAGCTTCTAATCACAAACGCTGACTAATCAACAGCCTCAGCCAGGTTAATAGCCTGCTCTGTGTGGATCTGGTGGACAGAGGTGTCTGTGTTCGGAACCTTGGACAGCTACCAAACCAGATCTGGTCTCTTCACGTGAGCTGATCAATAAATCCACCAACCCTGCTGCAGAAGTCGGAGGCCACTCACACTGATCCGGATCAGTTCCTGCAGAGGAATGCTGCTGGCGTCACTCAGCAAACACAAAGACCTGAATCTCAGGAAACCCTGGACTCTGCACAAACCAGAGGTTTTTAGGTTTAAAGAGATTTTGCTTTCTTATTTTTTATTGTCAGAGAAGAAAGTGTTTCTCTCTGAATATTGAGGAAACATTCATGAATCACACTGTGCACTCGGAGCTGACAGCCTGTAAATGTTCAGCTTTCCTTTATCCAGACCAGCACCTTCCTGTCCTCCAGTAAACCCTGAATACGCTCAATATAACCATCTCCTCTCCTCTGAAACCAAACTTCCTCCTGATACCTGGTTGGTCTTGACTGTTGTCTGACTGAGGTATGACTGTCAGGAGGCTGTGTTTAAAGTGCACTGGCACAGGTTTTAAATGTTTAACCCTGTAACCACAAACTCAGTTTGCACACTCATCCAGCACCAATGAACCCCTTATGTTACACATTTGTAATAAGGCTAGTCATCAATAAGTCAGAGACCGACTGCGGGTCGGTGAACCTCGGCAGGTAGCAGTGTGAACAGACCTGCAGATCCATCACAGGATGCTGATTAATACGTAACTGAAACATTTAAACATAGTTTTACACTTCAACAGCTTTTGATTACACATTCTACATTTATCTTCTGTTTTTTAACTCTTTGTTTTCATGTATATAATTGTTCATTTTCTACCTTTACTACATTTCATCTCTTTAAAGACATTGTGCATCTTGGTGTCTAATGTTTTCAAACTGTGGACATGTCTTATTCTTACTTTCAGCTTCTCTGACAGCTGAAAAGAACTTTTGAGTTGCACGGCCCTGTACAAACACTGACTGGGTGACTGATCTAATGATAAACCACAAACTGTGTGATTACATTTGTACTGATGCATTCGTGTGAATGCAGCCTCTTACTGTTGCCACTGGTTGAGGTGCAGCTAGATTTTGTCATATGGAGCTGGAATCAGAGTTTAAACGAGCCAACAACAGTCAACAGTTGGTTGCTGACCTTTGTGAAGACTGGTCAGTTGATGGAGTGAGTGAGTGAGTGAGATGTGTTTCATTGCTGCTGCTCTGTGGGAACCTCAGACAGGGGATATACTGACCGGAGTCCGGAGCAGGTGCTCAGGGCCACTCTGGACTGGGGGAACCCTCGGACGCTGCCGTGATAATAACAGTGAGTCTGCAGATGACAAACACACACACGCCTGTCACAGCTGGAAAACACCACAGAGACTGTGAAGACAGACTGCGGTGCATTCACTGACTCACCACAGGATCGGCTATCACAGACACTCCAGTACCGTTGGGCAGGTAGTAGAAGACGTTGGGCGGTTTGGGCAGCAGGTGACTGCACAGAGACGACACACATCAGGTTTTTTGTGGTGTGAGTCACCTTAAAAGTAGACGGGTGGCCAAACCTTTGTAAAGGCCACAGTTACTGCTTTTTCTATTTTGTTAAATAAGTAAATGAAAAGTAAATACTGTTGATTGACATTTTTTTTTAAAATGAAAAGTAAATACTGTTGATTGACATTTTAAAAAAATTGTTATTTTAATTCCCAGTTTGCTCCCTTGTTTTTAAAAATCATTGTTGGTGCAGTTCTATCAGGTGGAGGACAGGTGCCACGGCCTGAATCAAATTGGGCACGCTGCCCACTCGATATTGTGTTACAGTGTAAACTCACTGGTTCTTCTCCAGGTCCAGCAGGAAGAGCTGCCCTCCTACCTCAAGTCCACACTGCAGCCTGTCAGGGTGACCGTCCTGAAACCAACAGGAAGGACGGTGCCTTCATGTAATGAGCTGACTCAACACAGAGAGGAGGAAACAAAAGAACACAGAAAACTTCTCAAGGAGTCTAGAAAGCAAGAAGCCTGACTGAGTCAACCCGACCACCTCCCTGCGACTCTGCTGCTCTAAACAGAAAACGAACAGAACAGGAAAACAGTTGAGTGATGCATGAACCTAACTTCCAGGAGACAGGCTTGGCCGTACAGTGAGCTGCCATGTGAGAGAGGTAAACTCGAGCAGTACTAGTACTGGAGCACACTTTGTACTAAAAATAAAACACATAAATGGGTCTATCTCCATTGTTTTTTTATTGTGTCCGTTTCATTTTTCCTTGCTGTCCGGTAGGAAGCAGGCGTGCTGAACACATCCGTTATCCAATCACTGTCTTCCTGCCGGGTAACAGAGCTGCTCTTTGATGAGGAGGCACTTCCTGTCCAACGCCTGCTCACTTCTCCTCCCAGCTCTGCGGGAAGTCAAGGTGTGTGTGTGTGTGTGTGTGTGTGTGTGTGTGTGTGTGTGTGTGTATGAGAATGTTTTCTGTGGGTGTGTTGAAAAACCGTTGTTGTGAGGACATTTTTGCATAAGTGAGGACAGGCTGTCTGGTCCTCACAGCTTCAAAGGGCTATTTGAGGGTTCAGACTTGGTTTCAGGGTTCAGGTTCGGGATAGGGGAAGGGTTGGGGTAGACATGTGACGTGTGTGTCACTCACAGATGAGGGTTTCTCTCAGGCTACAACAGGTTTTCCATTAAATGTTGGCTCTATTCAACAGCAGAGCAGACAGTCTGAAACTCAGTCTGTGTCTTGAAAACATGAAAAATATTGGCAGTGACTATCTTCCGTAGTGTTGCTGTCAAAGAAGGACGAAGCCAGAAACAATCACGGGGACATGACCTCTGAGAGCAGCTGCAGGGTCTGGCATTTAAGACAGGGTTTGGGTGGAGTGAGCAGAATTCCCCTCAGAGTCCTTTGTGTTTTCTCCACCCTGCCTGTACTTTGTACCGTGGTGGGGTCAGCTCATTGTGCAGCAGGGTGGGGGGGAGGTGGGGGTGTGTTTGTTGGCTGAGTCATGTTCACTTCAGCTGGGTGGATCCGACTCGGTTTTCCTACTTAACTATAGAAGCTCAAACAGCTCTGAGTATGTGGGCAGCATGATGATGGTGACATGGTGAACAGAGCATTCATTCAGCTTTATCTCTGTTATACATTGTACTGTTTTTATGAAATCACTTCCAGGATCAGTTTAAACTCCACAGTCATTCAGATGAAGCCACTATGATTCTTCAAGCACAAGGCTGCTGATTTTATATTTGTTAGTGATATTTATTATGAGTGTTGGAAACAGATGGCCTCCCATGTTTCCTGAGGAGGAAACCTGTCCCCCAGTGAAGCAGTGCGACTCACTGGGGGGCTTAAATAGCTGGTGGACAACAGTGGAGGTCTACAGCACAGAGCAATAAGCTGGACCAGGGTCTGGACTCACACACATTATGGTGAGGACACCACATTCACTGGTGCTGCTGGTCTCTGGATGGGGTTTGTGCACAGTAACACACAGAGAAAATCAGTGTTAAGTCAAATCAGTGTGTTTCCCCCCGTGAAGAAACAGGGTCTATCTGTTCAGGACTCAGGCCACAGCTGAATTTCGTTCATATTCTAGAGAAATCCAGTTTACAGCTGGTTCTGCATTAGGCCGATGATCTCAGACAGGATGTAAGTTACGTGACTTTCATCTGTTGTTTCTGCCCCCCCCACCTCTCACTCTTTTGCAGCCTCTCTTGTCCACTCTCACCATCTGTTGACACCCTTTCTGGCTACTCCTGTTCATGATGTTCTCTCTTCTGCCCTAAACTCTCTCTCTCTCTCTCTCTCTCTCTCTCCTTCTCTCTGTGGGGAGGGCATGTCTCTCGCCCGGTCTGCAGATGATGTCAGAGCTGCAGAAACTTAGGGCGAGGCTCGGAGCTGCTGATCACAATAGAGGAAGAGGAGGAGGAGCAGTGGACACACAACAGTGCCAACACAGTCAGTGTTGAGGCCTGTATTTTATACCTTCACAATAAAACCGACAGGAGAAGTAAGAACCTTAATGCAGGGAATAATCAAGGAGCAAGAACTGTGCAATCTGATTGTTGTATAAAGCTCTTCTGCCTGAGGTCTCTTCAGCCTCGAGGGTCTAGTGAGACTCAAAACTAAGTGACACCATGACCGCTCCATACGGCTCTGTGCCCATTAATGTATAACTGAACCCTGGATTCAGCGCCACATGGCCAATCAGTTTTCCCACCGGCCACTCACAGTACTGCAGCAAAAAATCACGTGCCCCAAATACATTTTCTCCATAGACCACAATGATACATCTGTAAACCCGCTGACAGGACACATCAAACTGTAAGTGAGGTCAGTTATTACTCATTGCATTATGAATTTTTAGCCCATATAAAAACTTTCCCAGAGCCTAGAAAACAGTTGTATTTCTGTGACATCATCACAGTGTAAAGTTGGGCTGAGGGGGAGTGCGCAGGCGGGGGCAGCACAAATCCACATCTGCAGTGGGTGGCACAGCACCGAAGCCAACCCAGAAAAGATATTTATTTGGTGTAAACACCAAGAGAGCAACTTCCATTCAAGTGCCTTGGTGCCATGTTTCAGCCCAGAATCCAGGTTTTCCTTAATACATCCTTGTCATTGCCCCTCAGTCAAATCAAACACATTAGCCTTAGATGCTAACATAGCCAGAAGGAAGAATGCCACATCTGAATCCAGTCTGAGTCCTTTGGCTGCTTTTAACCCTCTCCATGTCAAACAGCCAAACTGATGTTAACTCTGGTTGTTGTTCTTTCTTTGTCCCACTTTCTCTGTGCAAAAGGCACCACCTCTTCACTCTGGCAGCCACTGGTTCAGACTTTTAGCTGCCCAGAGCTCCTCCATGGGCTAATTTACAGACAGTACTTTGACAACACAGAGTGAAGAAGCTAGAATAACAAGGGAAGGGAGACACCACTGGGGTTATCAGACTGTGGAGGGAATCTGACTTAATGCAGATTTGATGTGTCAAACATTTGATACAGTATCTAAACAGGATCGTGTGCTTGTGTTCTTCATCCCATGTTACAGCTGGGGTCTGAAAAGTGATTCCTTGTTCAAAGTCTCAGCTGCCGATTCAACTTTTTGTGGCAGCAAGGAGCTCTTTTTTGGTGGACTGCACCTTTAGTCACATGATACCACAGTTCTGCTACTTTCTCCCCACACCAGGGTGGAGTTGGGGTGGGGGGTGTCCAGGGGTTTTCTACAGGACATGATCTCAGAGCTGCTGTCAGCTGCACCCCTGGTTTTTGCTCTTTCTTTGCCCCACTCTCTCTGTGCAAGAGATGCTCCCTCTTCAGTCGGGCAGCCACTGGTTCAGACTTTTAGCTGCCCAGAGCTCCTCCATGGGCTAATTTACAGACAGTACTTTGACAACACAGAGTGAAGAAGCTAGAATAACAAGGGAAGGGAGACACCACTGGGGTTATCAGACTGTGGAGGGAATCTGACTTAATGCAGATTTGATGTGTCAAACATTTGATACAGTATCTAAACAGGATCGTGTGCTTGTGTTCTTCATCCCATGTTACAGCTGGGGTCTGAAAAGTGATTCCTTGTTCAAAGTCTCAGCTGCCGATTCAACTTTTTGTGGCAGCAAGGAGCTCTTTTTTGGTGGACTGCACCTTTAGTCACATGATACCACAGTTCTGCTACTTTCTCCCCACACCAGGGTGGAGTTGGGGTGGGGGGTGTCCAGGGGTTTTCTACAGGACATGATCTCAGAGCTGCTGTCAGCTGCACAGGAAGTGTCCCCACCGCCCAAGAGAAGTGCCAAAACTCCAACTTCCTTCCTTCCTCATATTACACAGACAGTTGTGACTTGAAGCAGGAGAAAACTGTCTGCTAATGGATCCTGCTGCTCAGTGTATTTCCTAATGATCTGCCATCAACCTCTGAAAACATCACGTACGTTTCCCAAGTTTTCTCTCCACGTTCTGAGATTTGAAGAACACTTCATTTTCACAAACACCCTATAAGCACCTTATATATGCACTCACAGGGTCATAGAAAACCTGAGCCTCACACCATGCGCAGTTCACAGTGGTGGAAAGTAACCAAGTGCATTTACTCTCATAAAGCACAATGTCTGAGGTACATGTACTTTACCGAAGTATTTCCATGTCCTGCTACTTCATACTGTGACTTCACTCCATGTCAGAGACCAACCTTGTACTTTTTACTGCACTACATGTATCTGACAACTTCTCTTCCTTTTCAGAATCAGATGAATCAAACCAAACCCAGTAGAAACATCAGACACTATTGATCCCAGCAGGGTGTAAAGAACTTCACAGTATAAGTATATAAGGTAGTTAACATCAGCTCCATCTTTACCATCTGCAGCATTAAAATGATGAACATAGTAATGCATCAGTCACTATGATCCAGTGGTTTCAGAGACATTAATATGACATGGGCCGTTCTGCTGGATGAGTATTGGTACTATTGTCACTTTAGGTATGTTTGGATGCTGATGCTTTTGTACTTTTACTTCAGTAACATTTTGAATGCAGGACTCCGAGTACCAACTTAAAAGCTGAGTGAATGATCAGAAGTGTTGCAGCTCTCAGTGCCCGACGTCACTGGACACGTGTGGCTGCAGCTCTCAGTGAAAACAGGAACTTTTCCACAGTGTTAAACATAAAAGCAGGACGTCCAACAGTGCACTGAGTCCAAGGACCTACTAAAGGGCTCAGCCTACTATGGTAACATTAGAAATTATGCTGTTATTGGTGAATATGGCTCCTGAGGTTCAGTTGTGATATACACAAGGTCATCTTAAAAAACACATTGTATTTAGACACGTTCTAAGTCGCAGATTGGTGCTAGACCATGAGGTCAGAGGTGAAGTGAGGTGAGAGACTGTTCATCAGGACTGCTCATTTTAACACTTTAGATGTGTCTGTACAACTGAGGAAGAAACTGTGACTGAATCTCCTAGAACTTTAGTTGGCATTTAGTGTGGTCTAGACCAGTGGGTACCATGAGGTGACTGTTGTTACGAACAGCCAAAAGATGGGGTGTGTGTGTGTGCGCAAACACTTTTGTTTTCTCTGATGAAGATGGAAGAGTATGTCCCACCCATCGCAACATCTAGTGGACAGTCTGATGGAGACCTGACCAACAGAAGCAAAACCAGGACAGCCAACAGAAATACACCAGTATGACAACAGTAAAACACTGGTGACACACTGGGGATTAACCACCCAAACACCAGTAGAGCATTGGTGAATAACCAGTAATTAACCAGTCACACAACCGTTAATCTTGTACATCAAACCCCATTAAACCCTTGATTTTCCAGCAAACTGAAGAAATGAATCAGTATGTCATCACCAAAGCATTAAAGAACCACTATCCAACCTGTAGTGCTTCAGCCAGGCTTCGGCTCTGTCCACCCATAAGGATGAAGGGACGCGTTCTCCCCAGCAGGGGGCGGCGCCATCTGTCCACACCTGTAGACACATAGGACACTCAGCTGCTGGCTTCTACTGGGTGAACTGGAAACACTGACTTCTAGAGCTAGACCGCTAGATCAGCCAATACCAGCTTTGTGCAGATAATTCCATATCGCTGTGTGTCCACTGATATCGATAACCATCAGAAACATCACACATCAACTTTGTGAATTTCTTTTATAAAGAACACTAGTATCTGAAGCCAGCGTGAAGAAGTACTCAGATGCTTTACTTCAGTAAAAGTAGAAATACCACAGTGTTATGAGTAACAGTCATGAATTCAAAATGTTACTCAAGTACAAAAGTATTAGCATCAGAATATACTAAAGTAACAAAAGTAGCCATCATCATTGTATTTGTCTAAATCTGAAAAGGAAACAAAGTTATCAAATAAAGTAAACTAAAACTAACATACACGAGTTTAATGTAGTAAAACTGTTTTCTGGTGTACACTGTCTCACAATAACTGAGTAAGTGCAACGAGTGTTGCGACCATCCCTGCCTTACCTGAGTAAATGTACTCAATTTCTTTCAGTGGTGCAAAGTAACTATGTGCATTTACTCAGGTGCTGTATTTAAGTATAAAATTGAGGTACTTGTATTACTTATGCAACTTTATAGTTCCACTTTTCTACACAGTTCATATGCAAACATCATACTTCCACTACATTTGTTACATTACAGTTTTTCATCCCCTTCCTGTGCAGTGAAAACTTCAAACAGGCGGAATATTGTAGAACATGATGCAGATGAATCTAACACCAGTTTATTCAGTAGCTAAAGCAGTACAACCTTAAACTATACATTAATGTACCAGCAATATTAATCCACAAGCATCATATAACAGTGAAACAGTGACAGAGTATTCTTCTGCAGGATCAGAACTTCACTTGTTTTGACTGCAGGACGTCTACTGGAGTATTTTCACAGTATGGTACTTATACTTTTACTTCAGTAAAGGCTCTGAATATTTCCTCCACCACTGCAATGTCTCTGAACTAAGGGCACCTGTACCATGACGTCAGATGGGTAACCGTTACCTGTCACGGTCACACTGTCGGTACCGTCAGTCTGTCCTTGCTGAGGAAGAACCCCTGCGTCCTGCGGTGCGTTCAAGGACCTGGAGACAGTAAAGGCAGCACGGTAGCTGAGCAGCAGCAGTAATGTTACGACGGCTCCGCTCATCCTCTCTACGTCACCGGCAACAGGTTGCTGCTGTCTCATATAGGTAACCCCGTCCCGTTACCTCATCGTGTCGGAGCACCGGGGGAGGCTCCACCGAAACTTCGTTGTACTACTTTCCCCGGTAACATACACTGAAAGAAACGGGTTGGAACTGCTGATGTAACGGACCACAGGCGGAGATGTGACTGCTAATCCAGCGTGAACGTAGCGAGCAACCCGCCCAGTCGTCCTCCAGTCATGACTGTTATCTGCGCAGCTTCAGCGAAAACAGTTTCTATCGCCAAAAACTCCCGTCAACACTGGGCGGACTCAGTTGGTTCATGCCGGTTGTGCTTGTTTGGACACCAAAACCGTTCGGCTTATCCGCTCTGACAAGCCTAAAAGCAGCTCATTACTGGAGGATGCTGGACCGCCCGTGTTTATACTTGGAGCTTGCATACACGTCATGTAGCTAAGTGAAGCTAACCGGAACTAGCGAGACAAACCAGAAGTTTTATAGGTCACATTTCAAAATAAAAGTCAGTGAACTAAGGTCAAATTCAACGCTAAAGTTCTTACTTTCACATTTGAATAATTATTGCTAAACCACTTATTTTTATATTTTTTTAATGGAGAATATAAATATATAATATATAATTCTAACAGAACTTACCGTATATATTCCAAAATCAAAAAAATTCCATGAAGTCTTTTACAATTTATATACATAAATATATACATTTAAACATTACCATGCGTGGATTGTGAGTCGGTAACCATCTTCACAGTTTTAATATGTGATCAAGTTGGAGGAAAATACTTATCTGGACTGAACAACTACAGACCTGTAACCCTGACATCTGTAGTTATGAAGTGCTTTGAAAGACTGGTGTCGGCCCACCTGAAGGACACCATAGCCCCCTACTAGACCCCCTGCAGTTCGCCTACCGGGCAAACGGGTCAGTGGACGATGCAATTAACATGGCACTGCATTACATCCTGCAACACCTGACTCCCCAGGGACCTATGCACGGGCCCTCTTTGTGGACTTCAGC